AGTTAATGAACATTCTAATTAATAATGTGAAATGTGAGACGAACTTGATAAAACTTAAATCAAGAATATAAATCATCATGTACATAAAAAAAAAAGCTATAAATTTGGAAGAGTCACTTATTCATTCTACACTTGTCTCATGAGATAAACCTTGAAACGGTAAATCTTCAACCTCTCAAAAAGTGATAACGACAGAAAAAGCCCAATATTATGAAACGATACGTTTCTTCAGTCACAGTTTTAGACTTGCTATTTCTCGACAAATCATACGCAAATGACGTTAAATATCTTCAACCATTGAAGCGGTTATTTCGGAAAGCTCATAACTCCATTTGCAATTTGGCACGAGGACATTATTGGAAGAAGTCTAGAGTACGTTCTACACGCTAATCTATTTTGCCTTCGTGTTGATAGATTTTGATTTGTCGCACCTGAAATATATGAGACTTAATCGCAACGAGTCGGCCTTGCTAAAGATGGTGTCCCCCACCCCTTTGACATCTGAATTCAGTAGCGCTTTCCTTTACGTCACTGATACCACCATTTTAAACAGTTGCCAGGGCAGTTCGATTGATTGATTAGTGATCCCGGCCGCGTCTACAGCTAAGATCATTATCCCCGTGAGTGTAGTGCAAGCTTTTTACCTCGAGAGGTGGCGGTGAGGACGGTGAGATTTGGCGCCAACCTACCCGTCTGCTAGCAAGGTATTCTTCGTCCAGGTATCTCCAGTCTCCACAAGCGCAAAGCTTCCTGACTGATCTTCCGATAATGTGATAAAATTGTAAATGTGTGTTAAGTAGGTGGTGAGAATAGGAGAAGGAAAATCAATGAAAGATAGCGGGCAGTCCCGTTTAGTGCAGCTGGGTCCGTTTGTTAGGGCACTGCTCCAGCATTGGTCTAGTGTTGATCGATGAAACCACGGATAACTGCCGACCAAAGCAGCCGGCCGCTAGAATTCTCCTCCAGATAGCGACTGAATTCGACCTAGCTAGTGACGAAAACACTGCCAAACCGTCGGGACTCAAACTCGAGATCCTCCTGTTCATTGGCAACTCAGTGGCATCAGTTGATGCCCTGAGCCACCTATGCCGGTAGGAGACAGTATTGTGTGCAGGGAACCAGCAATCAACACAAATCCAGTATATATATATATATATATATATATATATATATATATATATATACTGGCAATCTCCATAATGCCTTCGACTGCTATCATTTCTCTTCATAGTCTAAATGGTTAAATTGGCGGGTGAGATGAAATTAACCGGCGGCGGTTGCGCTTCCCTGCGCCTAGGGCTCCGCTTTGGCCGTGCCCCTGCCCCAGCCCCAGTAGTGACTGTCCGTCGCTTCTGCGGCCGCCGGTGGCTGGCACGTCCTGTCCGTCGGCCTCGGCGAGCGGTAACTCGATTGGCGCGCGCCAGGCGGTCGCCCGCGCGCCGGCAACAAGTGCACCGCCCCCTTCCGTCCTCGTCCTCATCCTTATCCTCATCCCCTCCGCCGGCTTCCCCACTCGCGCTCTTTTCCCCTCGACGTTCTCGCTCAATCGCCGCCTTCATCTCGTCTCTTTCGCCCCCTTTCTTGTTCCTTCCCCTCGTCGCCCTCGCCCCAAACACGTCCATCCCCGTTCTCTCCCCTGACAACTCTCACTCTTCAACTATGTCCGTCATTTCCACCTCCTTCTCCGCCCCAAACAGCGCCATTTCGATTAATCTCCTCCGTTATTTTCGTTATTAATATTTCAGTTATGTAGCGGACGTTACATTCGGTCGGCGCGGTTTGGTTAGTAGCAGTTTTCGGTACAGTGTAATCGTAGAGGTTTCGTGGTTTTCTCTCGCCTTTTGTTTTTGCAGATTTAGGAATTTTAGATCAATGGCAGTTTTGTTAACACTAAATATATTCTACAAGTTTTTGTGGCATTTGAATGGCATGCGTTTTATTCACGGAACTCCATGAAACGACATCAATGACTTTTCTAAGCTATTTCTGCACCTGCGGCTTCATCGGGACGTCTCAACGACTTGAATAAGCAAACGTTACCTTTGTTTTCTTAGAATGCAATTTACGCGTTCACAGAGTAAACATATTTGGTTAATGAAAGAATAACAGGCGCACACAGCATGAATTACATTCAGAGGAAAATCTGATAATTTCTTGCTGATGGATATCTGTGATTGGTTGAAATTTGAATAAATTCTTTCTGACCGCTGAACACTCAGCACATGAGCGAAATAATATTCGAAATTTAATGTTTCAGAATCGTGTGCAATGGTTCAATCTTTAATATACAAAAAGTATTCAACCAGAAATACAATGTAATGTCCTTATTGATTTGATTGTTTCAAATCAATATTGAGAAGAAAAATTGATAATTTACATGAAAAATGTTTCTCAAGCAATGAGTTTTCCATAATGTATGAACATTGTATCGAAAATAATAAGTACAGTTTTGATGACATAAAAATTAGCATAAATAACTTCAATTGACAATACTAATGTTTAACTTAATAAAAATACGTATTGTTAGCAATGTTGCCAGGTTGTCAGTTTCGGTAGTGCCAGTGTTCATAATTGTGGTAGTTCCATCTTATCAGAGGTTCTCCTCAACGCGACCGCTGATAGAGAAACAAGATCACTAGTCACCTTGGCGGCGAATATTATATTTCCGCACTTCAGATGGCCCTGACACTGCCCCGCAAACCCTAAGCAGCAAAGCACTCCGCGCCACTTGAAACAGCGGTTGTTGCCACTGACTTAGTACGAACAGTTCACGAGATTTACCACAAAGAACCACAAGAATCGTAAAGAACTAACCGAGACATTTGAAGGTGAAGTGCAAAGTTGCAAGTGTGAAGAGATCCTTCATGATTATCCTACATTACTTGTAGGACTGAGAGCGTTTAATGATTTGACAACGGTCAACGTTTGAAAAACGACTAAAATGCTCAAAACGTAAATCTCTTTAACATACTTTTCAGGCACGCCAAATAGAGTGCCAAATAGAGCTGAGAAATATTCCAGAAATTGATTATATAAACAAAAAATATCAAAACGAAATAATATTCACTTATACCGAAGACAAACTTTTCTCCGAGAAATCCTCAATCAACAATATATTGGATTTAGCACATTTAGCACTGTTATAAAAACACATTTTGTATTTCATAGACATATATATGAGCTCAAAATAGAATATTATTTTTTGTTCTTCTTTCGTCCAAATAGTTTTTTTTTCTCATTTGTATTCACTGAAGTTTCCCTTTGGACCGTGTTCGAGGGATCCACAATCAGCAATGAACAAATGGAGCGCTATCTGGGGGAAAAATGAAGCAACGGAAAATGGTTCGTGTTGTTTGTTTCCCTCTTCTATTTCTAGGGCTGGAGGTTTCGTCGGGCCCTGCGATGACCTTCGAAGGGCATCGCCTTGCCGGAAGGAAATAAGGCTGAAAGTTATCTGCGCGAGCCATTTCCGGACCGTACGACGCCGAGATGTTTCTGGGTCAACTAGTCGCCTGTTGCGACAAAAACGAATTGAGAAAAAATATGATTGTTCTTTACAATAATTTTAGTCTCTGCATTACAATTTAGTAAAAAACTAAATAGAATATGAACGTAACTTTATACTTGTAGATATATCAAAATAACTCTTTCTTGCTGTGTATGTTTTTATGGACAAAATATATTCAAATGTGAATATTTATATACTTAAATGCATTAGATTATTTGGTAATTTCATGTAATAATTTGTACTGAATAATGTCTACCATTCAAAAAATTAATGTTAGTTTTAAACTGTGACCTCCAACACAATTCGAATTTTCGTCTTGTCCACAAGCTGTGGAAACGTTGATGTATCGTTAGAATGGTGTATTACTCTCCTTTTGCATCCGAAATGTAATTATTACTCGCACAACTTTTCTTTAAAGATAAATACCTCTCGTATCAAACGTCACATGCAGTCTTTACTAATTTTTAGCAAAAGTTAAAAGTAGAATACGTACAAAGTGCTTAAAGTAAAATTTTCTGTCATTTAATATTCAAGAAATATGGAAGTTAATAGTTTATCAAATACGATGTTACTTAATATATATTTTTGAAATTGAACATTTTGAAGGTACTTAATATACATTGAAAATATAAATAAAAACGTTATTACACAAATTAGGATTTGGTCTGAGGCTTTCATTACCCTCAACAATTCATTTGCGGGACGTGGTTCTTGCAATGAATATAAAGTTCATTGAAATTTTGTTACCACGAGTATTTAAACACGGCACAGGTTATTGAACAAAGTTCATAGAATACGCTCCGTGCATTTTAATTTCCGCCCTGCTGTAGAAAATACGTGCCTTTAGTAACTAGTAAGCAGAAACATGGAGTGAATTTTAAACGAGCTTCCTGCGAAATAACAACAAGAAACTTTTGATAGACGCTCTAACGACACAGAAGAAATAACGGATACATAAAGAAAGCAATCTGTTCCAGCAGCGGCATACCTTTGCAGTAGAACTCCTGTTACAATATCACCAATTCAATGCGATGATGAAGTTCTAATCCACACACGCACACTTCACAAAATTAAATAATTCACTTTTAACACTTTTCCACGCAAACGCCAATATCGGTTTATAATTCCGCGTATAATACGAAGCAATTAAAATTATCCGCGCCCACTCGGCTCACTGGCTTCCCGCAGACTGAGCACGAGAATTAGATTCGTACACTTCAGGTAGTTTGCGGGTGTCCAGGCAAAGTAGAACTATTTATCCCTTTTTCCGGGAGGGGCGCGAGGTACGATTGTGCAGGCCGCCAGCGAAGGTCGGCCGCTTGAGAGAAGACAAAAGACAAGCACGCTCCGTGTGATGTTTTCGCAAGAAAGCCACTACCCCAGTCAGACATTCGTACACTGCACTGCTTCACACTATATTTTGTTTATAATAAATGATATCTGTCTATTAAGAAATGCTAAATATGTTCGAAACAACGCTAGGAAGAATTACCTAATGTTTTGCACTAGGAATGCAGAACAAGAAGTACATTTTCTCAATTTTGACTTGTAAGAGAGTTCAAAAAATATAAGTGTAACCTGTAGAGGAAAAACACATTTGGGCTCCTTTGGAATTAGAGAATCATCACAGAAATAATACTATCCTCTCTTTAAATAATACGCAATAATAAATAGCGGGTTTGACAAGATATAAGATATATACCTGTGAAACCCTGTGAAAAAAATAGAGATTCGGATTCCCTCACCAGTCCTACATCCATAATATTTATTGCCAACTAATGGAAGTTTGCAGATTATAATATAAATAAGATTTCTGCAACACACATATCCGGAAATGATTCGTCCTAGGGTCTTAAAATCAGATTTAGGTGAGAAGAGGTGAGTTCTTTGGGGACACTACTTTTCCACATGTCGCTGGATCTCGCAGCAGTAGAAGTACATCGCCACCTCCCGTGATATAAAGTGCACTGTCCACATGGGACTAATGATTATTGCCTGTAAACACAAATAATGTAGTAAACTATAATGATGAAATCCCTTGGTAATGTTTTTATCTGTTAATGATATTTTAATAATGTATTCTGTACGAAATGATCGTATCAAATAGGTTAAAAAATGAATGAGCATTTAAATCTGCATTATAAAAAATGTACCATCCGTGATTTAAGAAATTATAATAATATTGAATTAATTTAACATTTTTATTTAGAAACATAGGAACAAATCACCCATCATTTAAGTGACTATTTCACAATTTTCAGATACCTTACACTAAATGTAATATGTTACATTTGCTGTTTGTAATGAGTAATTTCCAATTTTGTAATTAGAAAGATCTCACATGAAATCAGAAAAGCATAAATAAAGCACACGTCTCTCTGACAATATTTGGAATTGAACGGCTGATTGTTTCTGCTAAGTGATAGTGATCCCACTAAATTCGTCATTCGTTTTGAAATTACTATCTAAACATGAGATGTAATGGAAGCAAAATATTAAAACTCCTCGCATTGAGTTATATTGCACACAAGAGAAATATGTTTGATATTACAAGATATATGTTTGTAAAATAAACTTAAAATTCCAATTTCATTAGTGATGTTATGTTGATTTTTGGCAGAAACATTCAACAACACATTTCTGTAAATTACATTAATCTTTTCTGAGATTTCTTGTTATATTTTCTTGCTGATCGCATTTTGCGGCAACTGAGTGGTATTGTTGTTCATGAACAAAGCAAGGTTGAATGGCTCATGTTGAGTGGCTCTGTTCGACCCAACATTATTCATGTTCATTTGCCAATTTTGTGGGTTTGAGGTGATTCCAGTGATGGCCTTCCAAAATGGGAAAGACGGAAGTAGAATGATGCTGACAGATGAATGATTTTGAGTGGGGCGATGTTCATTTGTGTTCGTCAAACGCACTACGATCACGTGATGAAAACGTCATTAGTTCATAGGGGACTCACACACAGAACTTGGGTTTCTACTAACTACTTTTCGCTCCCGTTTCACTGGAACCGACAATTTACAGTAATTATTGGATTTCAAGCATGAGTTGTACGCGTAATACTCTTTGTCTCGTGTTTATTTTTCAGAGATAGCATGAAGAGAATCAAAGCAACTGCTTCCTGGTACATAGCCAGTGTCGCGTCTGTGTTGCGAATTCTCTCCAACCCACTTCTTTCTCGCCCTGTCTCAACATATGAGGATTTGGACACTACACTCGCAAACACATTCAAGTGTTGATTGGAGAAGCCCATAATTTACAGTAATTTAATGGTATCTGGTTATTGCTATTTTTGAAGCTCGCCACAATCTTTCCAGCAGATGACCATTCCCTCAGGCAATGACGTGTACGTAGTGTCCAAACGAATTTAAAAAATCTAGTGGTGCTTCAAAGTGGCACAGACTTTTCCGTATTAGTTTTCTATTTCCTTTGGTCTCGGCTAGCTACTCGGGCTTTCCACATTCTCTTTCCAGCTGCCATCTATCGCTGTCCAAAGTACATTTTTTTAAAATGTTTTTTTTTTAATTTTTTGGCCGCCTAATAAAACGCAAATATTATTTTAAGAATATTAAAGACGAATAAAACCTCTTTGTAATTGGCAATTTTCTTTGAAAAATTGGAGCCGTTTTTAAGAAAATAGCGTTTAAGCGCTACTGTAAATTCAAAATTTGAAGCTCTATTTCACAGAATTTTTTTTAGTTTTCGAGAACCTCTCTTTAAAGTCATTTTAAATACTTTAACTCACAAATACAATACAGTTTACAAATTGGTGAAAATGTGCATATTAACGGCGTGAGAGATCTTTCAAAAAATTACATTTGTGTAATTTTTGAAAAAACAAAACATACACCGAAATTAACTTTACGTCATATTAAAGAGTGAAATTAGCACTAATCGTACGAAATATTTGAAGAAAGAATTTGGAGCCTGTTTTGGAGAACATGGCGTTTGGGCTTTTCTGAAAATGTTTGAACTAATTTTGACAGAAAATGGTTAAGTTTTCGAAAAACGTTATATGACATTATTTAAAGCACATGTACTCGTAAATACAATTATGGAAACAAATTGCCGCTACAATATAATATTAACGATATGAGAGGAAAGTTTAAAAAATTGTAAGTTTTGAAAAAACAAATCGAACAATACGCCGTTTATGTCATATTTTAGAGTATATTTAGCACTATCCTTATCAAAAGTTTAAAAAAAATTGGAGACTTTTTGAGAAAACCTTGTTTTAGTAATTTTTTAAAATTGCACACATTGCATGCAATATTGCGATCCTTCGGTATCAGGGGACCTCAAAATGTGTATTTCCGTTGAAATCTCGAAATCGATTTTCCGCAGCATTACATATCTTTCCCAACACTATGTGTATTACTCCGTATATACGTACGTATACGGGAAATTGAAACGAAACATTGGCTTCATACATGATATGCGCGCATGTGCCATCCACGCATCTCCTCTATCCCCTCTCGTACGTCCGGAGCTTTTGGATTGATTAATTGATTGATTGGCGATTCTGAGCGCGTTAACAGCTACGTTAACTAATCCCGTAAGTGTACTGCATGATTTTCTTGGGTGGTGGCGATCTTCCTCCGCTGGATGGTGAATTCCGACGCCGATCTACCGTCGGCTAGCGGGGTTTCCCGTCAACCAGGTATCAACCACCAGCGAGCACTGCCCAAGAGACACGCTCGAAGTTCCCAACCAATCTCCCGACATGTGTGATGTGAAGTGCATGTTGGTGTGAGTGTGTAAGTAGTAAGGATAGGACAAGGAAGAGGTAGGAAAGACCGGCGCGCACCGTGGCGAGTTTGTTAGAAAACAGCTCCGGTATTCTCCTGTTGTTGACGGGAGAAACCACGGAAAACTACCTATCAGAGCAGCCGACCGGTAGAAATCTTCTCCAGACAACAACTGACTTCGACCTAGTTACCTAGCTAGTGTGGAAAATCCTTCCCCCGTCGAGACTTGAAGCAAGGTCAGAGGTACTGCAGTGATATCAGTTGATGTTCTGAGCCACCCCTCCCGCGTGCGTCGGGTGCCTTGGTTGCCGCTCGCGCTAACCGGCCGCAGAGAGCCCTGCATTTTAAATGAAGCCCAACGGACAATGCTCTCGGTCAACTTACCCACCGGCGGCGCCGCCACGGGAGATAGGGGAATTTTAAAACGAGCAAAAATGGGGAAGTTTATTTACTACGGCTTGTACACTTTTAAAGCCCGAAAACCTTTTATCTTTTGTGGAATGAAAACTAATATGAAACCTGGGCCCATTAAAGGACCATTTAGGCGACGGTGTATGGTGTAAAAATTAAACACTGTTATGCAAATCCGAACTTTATAAAAATGCACGGCCGTTTTTATCGGTATGTCTGTATAAAATGCACGTATCGAGTGCGCTACATTTTTGCTGCACTTTGTGCCGCCACGAGCGAGGTTCTTTGTTATTCACTGCGCAAGTTCGCAAAACGTTGAAATTGATTGTTGGTAATTGAACGTGTCTGTTATTAATTTTCATTGATTATTGTAAATGAAAATTAACTTACGGTTAGTAAGCTGCAAAACGGAGCCTGATATATTGGGGAGTCGTGGTACACTAATTAAAAATGCAGCTATTTTGCTGCAGCATGCGCGCGTGCGCCTCGGGCGTAATGGAACGCGAGGGCGGCAACGGCAGAGGAAGGCGATGGCAGCAGTGGCGGCGGTGGCGGTGGGAGTTCAGGCAGGAGAAAAGACCAGTCGTTCTTCATGAGTGGTGGCGGAGGTGGTTGTGGAGGAAGTGGCATTGGTGGCGCGGTCAGTAGTGGAGGTAGAGGTGGTGGAGGTAGATGTGGCATTGTCAAGTGAGGGCAGAAGTGGATCCAGTTGTGGCGCTCCAGGAAGTGGCATTGGCCAGCACGCAGAAGGGGATCGGTGGTGGCGGAGGCAGCGGAGATGATGGTGGAGGAAGTGGGAATGGTTGGCGCGGGCAGACGTGGATGCAGTGGTGGCGGATGGAGGTGTCGATGGAGGAAGTGGCATTAACCGGCGCGAGCAGAAGTGGGTCTAGTGGTGGTGGAAACGGCATTGACAGGCGAGGGCAGAAGTGGATGCAGTTGTGGTTGCGATGGTTGTTGGGTGGAGGAAGTGTCATTGGCCAGCACTGGCAGAAGTGGATTTGGTGGTGGCGGAGAAAATGAGAATGGTGGGCGCGGGCAGAAGTGGGTGGAGTGGTAGTGGAGATGGTTGTGGTGGTGGAGGTGGCATTGGCCGTCACGGGAAGAAATGGATGCAGGAATGGCGGAGGTGGAGGAAGTGGCATTGGCAGGCGATGGAAGAAGTAGATGAATGGTGGCGGGGAATCTACAGAGGCTGAAGTGCTCTGTGAAAGGGAGAGAGGATGGCGAAGCGGCAGGTAGGATGGAGGGAGCTGCAGTAACGCTGGCAGCGGATGGGATGGGATTCCCATCGAGGGCCGGGTATGGCACTGGTGGTAGGGGCGGGGCTACGACGGGTGGGAGCGGCAGTGAAATGGCACGACGTGGGCGGCAGCGGTTCCGTTTGATGTGCATCCCGACCCGGCTTTCCCCGTCCCCAGCCCGTGCCGCTCCGCCCCTCTCCTGGCGCCCTGCTCATCCTGCCCCGCTGCTGTGAGGGAGCTCGACGCGAGGCCCTTTGACGAAACCCCCGGCTGCGTGGGCGTCGAACTGGGGACCGCGCCAACCGCGTCGTAGCGCCCGGTTTCTCCCTGGTGGCCACCGCACAAGCCTTTGACCTTGACGCTGAAATGCAACATCAAATACTCCTCTCATGATTAATGTTTTCGACTTCGTTACTTGTTTTGAAACGAATAATGCGGTCATGATTAACTAGCGTTTTCGACAAAAAAATGTAATAGTTTTTAGTAAAATCCTACCTATACTCTTCATATGATTCAAACCCTTCGAATGTGTTTACGTGTTCTTGGAAACAATCGCATTCAAGATAATTAAGAACTTTATTCGTTTGACTATGCATACCTTGGCTCAATTATTGAATTGAAGTGAATTAATGCCTTATTTTACGTGGCGAGACTCAAGCCATGAGGCCTTTCTTTTCCGTCTGACCACGCAAATTTCGCTACGCTCCTTTCACCAACTAGCAAAGAAAGGAGGTATTTCTTGGGCGAGAAACAGGCGATTTGAATTTAGCTCAGAGGCGTCATTTAGGTTTGAGGATCTTTTACATGCTAGTAAATCTAGTAGCATGGAACAGTCAGCTTTACTTCCCCTCCGAAGGAAGGCGTAAGCTTTTTTCGCCCTTAAATATCCACGGCTTCGATCGGGTTTGAACCCGCCAACTTGTGTACAACAGTCCGGTACGCTAACCGTTACACCATCGCCGCGCGCAATCATTCGCCATCAATCATTTATTCGCTATGAAGATTGCGTTTGCATAGAAATTAATATTAGCCCTCACCCTTTGTATTTCTTAAGCTTTACTAGTCAAAATCAAAACAGTGACATTATAATTACATCGTAATTTGATTGTCCACAGCCTTTTGGAAGTTAATAATAAAAAATAATCCCTCTATCAGAGAGTTGTATTAACACGAACACATATTAAAGCATTGGTACTTCTACGAAATAAAATATAAACTTCCGTACATCTAAAGTACAAAATAGATTTTCATATTAACATTTTGTTTACATTCAGAAACATTTTAACCCAGACATCGATCATATTAGAAATACTTGTAAAGAGCGTATTCTCGATTATTTTGATTCATTCCTATGGACAACTTCATTTGCAGGCAATCGAGGAATAATATTAATGTCACTCTGCATATTCTAACTATCTCGGCGTATATTATGTCACAACAAAGAGATCGCAGATATTATACTTTTTTCATTTAGGGAGAGGATTTCGTAGAGAAACCAATAACCAAGATTTGCGAGTTTAGTTCTTGTTATTTATATCTTTAGTTGATGCCATAAGAAAATGGTCTGCAAGAAGTACAAGAATACATCATGAAATATTAAACAGGTGGATGTAGATAACGTAAACCCAGCCTTAACCTGTTTTGCGTCCAACTTCTCGGCCTTCAAAACAGGAAGAAAAATCTATGGAAGTCGTTTATCGCGATACTTGCTCGGCGCTGAATAAGAAGTACGTTTACTTCACACGTTTTCGCGGACAGTATCTGTTCATAAAAATTCCAGAGTTTATGCTTTGTGAAACAAGCACTTTCAAAGTGATGAATATATTATCTTTCTTCATAAGTGACAAATTACTAACAGACTACCAAATGGAGATTACGTTCATGTGGGCGTTGTTTTTCCCCTGTAACACATTAAAATAAAGAACGCTGGTAATTTTAGGGGAGATTTTTTTAAGCGTGCTAATAGAAAAGGATTTAAATTCAGAGAAGTACCAGGATGGAAAGAAACTTTATTGAATCACGAAATTAGTGCTTATGTGAGATAATTAAATAACGTCAGTAATATGATTGATTTGATACAGTTACAAAACACATTGAAGGTGCCATATGCATACAAAGATCACATTTTGTTACATTTTGGTTTTATTATATTATCGTATTTCAAAACATAAACACGTTTTCAATTAGTTCAAGTAGATCAAGTAATTTGAACTCGTTTACACTAAGGCTGCGTGATTGAAACCCAGATAAGACATGAATGTTTTCAGTTGCATTTGAGACGGGAGGGTAAGGGAATTCCAAACCTCTTGTGCCAAAACAAATGTAATATCAGCGAGATAGGGGGCCAAGGAATATTATCCACCAAAAATGTGGATAATTTTTGTTCGAACAGGTACTGTTTCTAATACTTTGTGTGTTCAAAATCCATATTTTGTGGGTCCTTGATACTAAAAAAAATTGGTTTAAGGCAATACGTCTGTCCATACGCCCGTCCATCTGTGTGTGAACAACGCTAGCGGCTAAACTATAGTCAGGATTTTCAACAAAACTTTATCTGGTGGCCCGATATACCCGGTTGATGATTACGTCGCCTTTAATTTGAAAATAATATCTTAATTTTGCGGGTGCTTTACTTGAACCCTCGACGATGCCATAAGAAAATGGTCTGCAAGAAATACAAGATTACATCATGAAATATTAAACAGAAGATGTAGGAAACCTTATGTAAAGTTTTACCATAAATAAGCCAAGATGTTTGTTTAATTTTCTTTATCGGACAGAACAAGAAACACATAAAATGGTTTATGTTTCATTCGCCTTAAATCCTATCAAAATTTCGAAAATCTCAAAAATTCAAAGTATTTTCGTCGCTGATAGGGAGACGTTCATTTTGAATATCACGGAGTAGAAAAAGTGGCCTCCCTGAACACGACATTGATCTGTTACACCAGACGTCAGCTACTTTTCCGACTTCTCATACTTCGCTCACTCCTGCACAACACACTGAGCACACAAAGAATCAATCAACCCCAACTTTGTAAACAGTTCTTTTGTCATCCTCGTGTCTAGTTGAACGTCGCATTACTTCTTTGAATGCGCCCAATACGTACCGCGGTGGCGACGCGAGGCGGTGCGGAGGCGAAGGAAATCTCTCCTCTTGCTGGAATAGAGGTAATCGCGAGATAATCTCTGGCAAAAATCCGCTGGAAACAATCTTATCGCTGAGGAATAATTGCACCACATCCTGAGAAACGCGCGCCACTGGGGGCATTTAGCCATCAACAAAATGGCGGGCGCAGGGGAGCGGGGCGCAGTGGTAGACTTACGAATTGGAAAGGCTAAAATCAACAAAGGTTCCTTAAGATGGAAGGTATACCAATAGTTGCAAGTATATCTATGCAGTAAGTGCTGTAAGGCTTCTAAATATCGACTTACAACAAACTGACTGAAGGTAAAGCGCCTTTTCTATTTTTTTTTTCTGGGGCAGAGGATTAAACACTTTGCAGAATAATTATAGAGAAATTCACATATGGTATATATGCTATGTTCAAATTATTACAAATAAGGAGGGTGTCCCTCTGGGATCCTCTTTAACCACCTAGCAGGGATAATTTTTTGGTTATTTGGAAAAAATTTATTGCATATAATTTATAGTATGAAGGGGTTTTGTGATTGGTTTAAGGTCTCGGAAATTTGTCCTTGGAAAGTCTGGAGCGGGTTTTTGTTTGTAGTGGGGTCGAAGGGTTTTGGGCCTGAAATGATTAATGCGTATTAATTCTCGTGGTACACAAGATTTTATATTTTAACTATTTTTTGTTATTGAAATTTACAGTTACTTGTGATTCTATATGTTATTTGAATTGGTATGTACGTATTTAAGTAATTCCCTCCCGTTACTTTCTCCATTAGAGGATATACATTGAATTTGAATTGAATTTGCCTTATTTTACGTGGCGAGACTCGGGCCGTCAGGCCCGCTCTTCCGTCTGACCACGCAAATTTCGCTACGCTCCTTTCATATAGCAGAGAAAGAAGGTATTTCTTGGGCGAGAAACAGGCGATTTGAATTTAGCTCAGAGGCGTCATTTAGGCTTGAGGATCTTTTACATGCAAATAAATCTACGAACATGGGACAGCCGGCTTTACTTCCCCTCCGAAGGAAGGCGTACGAAGGATTTTTTCGCCCTTAAAAATCCACGGCTTTGATCGGGTTTGAACCCGCCAACTTGGGTACAACAGTCCAGTACGCTAACCGTTACACCATCGCCGCCGCTTTACACCATCGCCGCCGCATACATCGACCTTGAACTGTTTTCATTTTTCCCTCGCTCCAGAGGAGTTAAGAAGGTACATCAACCTCGGCACGTATGGCAATAACGAATCGATAAAAATAGTTATTTAAATACCAAAGGCGTTATAAGGGCGGGATCTCGGGCT